ATTTAATATAATCAAGTAGTTATTGAGGAACCTTCGCTAGAAGTTTTAAAAAATCGTTAGTTTGACTAAGCATATCCTGTGATTTTCTGATGATCATCGATGATCGAGAAATTTCGTAAGGTGCCAGGCTTTAGACGACCCCCTTATTTGGTTATGATCGACATGCTGCATTGATTGATAATTTTAGCCAATAGAATACTATTAACAAATCAATCTTTTTTGCAGAAGTCTTTCGATTTTCACATATAATGACGATAAGTCTTTCGACCTTTATACATAAAAAAAAAACATACAATTTTTTGAAATGAAAATATACATTACATAATCATTACAAGACTATGCGCTCAAATTTATCTCAAGGCTATTAATATATTAAGTCTCTAATATTATCATTATAAAATACTTTTAGAAGAAATTTATTATTCATGCTATACAATTTAACTTTTTATTAATGTATATTTTGCCATCTTTGCATATTTCTTATTCTAGCAAGAGAAATATTTGCATTAGATAGTAATTCATGTAATTCATTTTACAAATATAAAGCATAAATTATTCAATAAATACTGAGGCCAGGCCTCACTCTTAAAAAAAAAAAAAAAAAAAAAATATTTGCATTAGAATTTGTAAAATTTTTGCTTTTAGAAGTTTTCATTTTTTGATGACTTACTTTCTCAGTATCTAATTCTTTATTTGCTCTTATAGGATTCATGTCGTCGCTGTTTAGTTTCTTTTTCTAGTGGAATAATATTGGTTTTAGCCTTAGAAGTGATACGTCTATGAGGATTTGTGTCTTCATATATAACATCTACCAGGTTTTGCATATCTTTAAAGGAATTTGATGTAACAATATCATGGAGATAAGTTATTAGAGTATTTAAATTATCAGAGTTATCTTTTAATTGAATCAAGTCTTGGAAAATTATTGAGTTCTCTTGTAATATTCGTAGACTTCTCGAAGTAGACTCCAGGAAATCTTTGAATTCTTGCTTATGAATAGTGGCAGCATTAAGTTTAGTAATATCCATTAAGCTAGAATTAGGTTGGTCTGCATTGGATATGCTAAAAATATATTCCATATAATTAAAAAAATCATCAGATGAGTTAGACATAAGATTGGTATTATTTTTATAATTTTTTTGGTTATTGATTTCATTATCAGTATCTTCTTTGCCTCTATCACTAATATCAGTAGTACTGCTACTATCGCTATCATATTGCACAGAACTTGCACTTTTACTCTTTTTTAATTTATTATCATCTAGATCATTATGAATTTCTTATGCTTCTTTGTAAGTTGCAAAGATTATTTCAGGTAAATTAGTATAATTCATCTTGTTTACAGAGCTCATCAATATAAAATGATGCAGCACGAAGATATTTGTATGCAATTCTTTTCTGAAGAAAATCAAGATATTGACAACAAATATCTGTTGATTCTCTATATATACAAGTTATGTAAATAAGCTGAGGAATAGTTTCTGACTCAATTTGAATGTAAATATTTCCAGTTGTTTGTTCTATTTCGTGCTTTATTACTTTATTCATTTGGAGTAATCGCTTTGCAGATTCATCATATTTTTTGCTTGATTTCAGATATGCAACTTGAGAAAACTCTTGCATTAGAATTTTACGATCCAAAGGATCCATTATATTGAATTCTTTTTGCTGCTTTTCTTTTTCATTTTTAAGATTTGTAGCAAGGTTCTGTAAAGTCAAAATATTAGATATGATCTCACACACGAGGACAACATAAAGTATATTGGCTCTTAAAGTATGATTGTTTCTTTGAAACTGCTTAATTTGACTGTTCTTTAAATAATCATTCATTCTCTCAAGGTGGTTGTTTGTTGTAGAAAGCTTTTCAAGAGGAATCTCAAGAGTCTTCACAGCCCTTATTCAGCTATTAAAATACTAGCTATATATAAGATTTTCAGCCCATTGCTTTTCTAAATATATAAGAAATTTTACTCCACCTTTTAAAATAGGTTTTGAGTTTCTGAAGTGTCTTTCTTATAGATAAGGCTTTCCAATGAATTTTTTTTTCATTAATATAGTTACGCACTATTTTTTCATCACTATTCATTAACCAGACCTCTTTTAATAAACTTTTTAGATATGCTTTCAAGGTCTGGTACTGTAATATTGTATTACTGTTACCACCTCGACCCAGTTATTTATTAATTTCATTTTTCCAATATTGACTTATATGAAAATAGCAAAGAAGCAGAGTAATTCTTGGCTACACTATTGATAGTGATTTTTGTTTCTTTACATCAGTATCGGTCATTGCAACAAGTGAACTAAAAATGATTGGAATATTTCTTGGATTTTCTTTAAATTGATTATGATTATAAATTTTACTAATTTTATCTCGAAAGATTGTGAATAATCGTTCGAGAATTTTACTATCATATTCTGACGATGTCAGCCGATTATACGGAGGAGGTGTAAAAAAGATGAAGGTAACAGGAATGCCTTATTGTTTTTATCAATAACCATGTTAATAAATAAAAGAAGTTTATGTTTACTAATTCCAAAGGTTCCATC